AGGGTACACGTGAATCCTACTAAATGTAGAATATAAATGTCTTAACACAACAACTAAGAAAATGACATGAAGGCTATATTAACCAGTTGGATGAAAGTGTTCCAAATTGTATATAGAAACAACCCACTGTACCCCACGATAGTATTAATGTACACAGCTATGACTTAATATAAAAAAATCAAAAAAAAAAAAAAAAGAAAGAAATGTACCTTTACAAGGGAGAGATCTGTCAGCCAGCACCATGTACACGTGACTGAACCGAGCAATGGGAACAATGGAGACCACCTGATGTGGTGCACATCTCACGGATACATTAGAAAGTAGAGAGTATCCTTTATGAAGTGATTTTGCCAAACGTTTAAGTTTTGTCATATCAGGCTCCTAGAGGATCTAGATCTTTCAGTTTACAGAAAATATTCATAGAAAGGATAGAAGAACAATTTTAAGAAGAAAGCAAAAAAGAAAAAAAAAAATCCAATGTGGGACACTCTATAAGACGCATCCCAAAGGTTAATATCATTTTTTAAAAGTGGTTGAACTGTTCAGATTGAAATAGACTGATGGAAATGAAATCCAATGATACACTCGGCTGGTTCTGGGTTGAGAAAATAGCTTAAAAATATATTTTGGAGACAACTAGAAAATGTGAAGATAGACTAGTTGTTAGATGATATTAGAGAATTATCACTTTTAACTGTGAGATCTAATTGTAGTTTAGATAGAAAAATGTTATTCATAAGCAAAAAGTTAAAAATTTATCTACATGAAAGATACATAGTGTTTATTATGTAATTCCTTCAAACTTCCCAGATGATTCAAGTTTTTCATAAGAATTGTGGGAAAGTTTAAGCATATAGCATCACCTACGAGGTATTGTAGCTAAAAATAATTAACTTTAATCCATGAAGCTTTTTTATATACCTAAGTTTATAAGAAAGAGCACAAAAGAATCAGCTAACTGACATTATGAGAAGCCAAACAACAGAACCTTCTGGATGACAACTGGCCTGGTCCCTTCAAGTCAGTGTCATAAAAAGGGATGGTGCTAAATTAAGACAATCTTAAGGGACAAAACAACTAGGCACAGTCTATGGTCCTGGGTTGGATACTCGCTCAATTAAACTGGGTATATATTTGGAGTCAATGGATAAAAATCTAATTATTACATCAAATGAGAATGAAAGTTTGATAATGTGGAAGGGAAGAGATCAGTGACTAAATCTCAGGTTATAAAATTTTATTTGAAACAAACTCATTTGGGGGCAAACCATAAATGTGTGTGTAAAACTGTGGGGAGGCTCAGTGCCCATAGCACAGTGGTTATGGGGCCAGCCACATACACCAAGAGTGGCATGTTCAAACCCGGCCTGGGCCAGCTAAACAACTACAAAAAAAAAAAAAAAAAAAAAGCCGGGCATTGTGGCAGGCACCTGTAGTCTCAGTTACTTGGGAGGCTGAGGCAAGAGAATCTCTTAAGCCCAAGAGTTGGAGATTGCTGTGAGCTGTGACACCACAGCACTGTACTGAGGGTGGCATAGTGAGACTCTGTCTCAAAATAAAATAAAATAAAAACTGTGGGGAAAATAATGGAGAAAGACAAGTATAGAGACAGTGATCACGGGATAGAGAGTTATGCAATTCTTTGTCTTAAAATTCAGGATGATCTGTATTTTATCACTATCACTTTCAACAATACAAATGAACCACTAATTGGTCACATAATATAAGACTTTTACTTGAAAAGCTTTAGAATAGATGAGAATATCTTTTAAAAATAATTTTCTCCTATTCCAAGGTTATAAAGACCCAAACAAGTATAAACCATAAAGAAAAATTTATCAATGCAACTACATTCAGATAAAGTCTGTCATCAATGTGTCAAAAATGTATGTTTTTACAAAAAAATAAACATTAAAAGCAAAACTACTAGCCAAAGACTATTAATATTTGCAACAACACCTGTAACTAGAAAAAGATGGTAACGTAGAATAAATAACTCCTATGAATCCATAAGACAAAAAACCCAGTAGCATAAGGGGCAAAAGTTATCAACAGTTATTTCATTGGAAATGATATCCCAAAGTCCTTTAAGTCTGTAAAGTTGTTCAAAGTCATTAGTATCAGGAAAATGCAAATTAAAATCATGAGATACAACACACACACACACCAGTGTTTTAAAACTGCAAACCATGATCATGTTAAGAATTTTAAGTAATAGAAACGCTCATATTCCGATGAGTATAAATTGGTTCAATCAATTGTAAAATAATTTGCTATTATCTTAAAAATCTGAATGTGTATACTGCCCACATACGTATTTCTAGGTATACTACGATAGATGCATGTATTAGAAGAGTGTTTTACAAACTCTGGATCGTGATTCACTCAATGTAGTGGTTTCTAACTAGCATTTTAAAATAAAATAGCACAGAACCAAAAATAAAACATCAGGGTATACTGCAAATGGTTAACATAAAATATGGCTTTGTGAAAGTTCCTACCCACCACACATACTCCTGTAATGCAAAATGCATTTTTTTTTTTTTTCAGTTTTTGGCCAGGGCTGGGCTTGAACCTGCCACCTCCGGTATATGGGGCCAGCGCCCTACTCCTTTGAACCACAGGTGCCACCCAAAATGCATTTCTTACTATGAGTTACATGCCAGAGTTTGAAAACGACTGCCCTACAGGGAAAGCCTTAACACATAAGCTCCAAGAGAATTGCAGATGGCATTACATGGAACATCAAAACCCTGGAAAAACTCAGAAGTCCTTCTCTCTAGATAATGAACAAAATTTATTGCTTACGGATGCACTGGAATGCTATCTCACAGTGAAAGTAAGTGGTACTTAGTTTCAGGTATCAACATGGATGCTCCTCAGAAAGGTAAGGTTAAGCAAAAAAAGGAAAAAACTCACGTCATAGAAGAGCACACCAAGTATGAGTCTATTTATAGGGAAAAGTCTTAATTTAACTGGAGTAAAGTACAATGAAAAGGAAAGAACAAACACAAAACTCAGGTTTCCTTTTGGATAAGATGAGAGGGGTGAAGGGATGAGAGGTACCAAATAAAGGCTTTGAGCATTCTGTTTAGTTCTTAAGCTGAGTGGTAGACACACAAATGCATCACTGGGGACATCACTGAGCCACTCAATTGGCCACCCCAAGTGCTGATCTTGGACGTAATTGTTCGGGGATAACTGTTCCTTGTTGTCCAAGCCGCATTTTGAATTGTATTTTCCATGACTCATAGTTAAAACACTCAAACTACAGCAGACCTTTAACTTGGATGCTAGACAGCTGAGCTCTGATTTAGTATAAACTATCGTTTAATCCCTTCTGTTTGCCTAATAGTATCATTAAAACCCTACAATATTAGTTATCCCAAACTATAAAAATATCTGTTTAGAAAGAAGAGACCATCATTAAAACAGCTCAGCAATTTTTCAATCCTAAAAGGCTTCTTCTTTGGAAACATTCTGATTAAGCACATGTAATACCAAGGACAATCAAGATTTTTAAAAAATCTATAAATCAGCACACAGATAAGGAAGCAGGCTTGCACTCTTGCCCTCGGCAGGGAGCAGCTTTATCTGCCCAGGAGATCACAGAGTTTCCATTAGTTCTACAGGCTGGGGGGTCAAACCGCAGGCAGAATTCAGCCACGGCGGGAGTTCTCCAAAGGAGAGAGGAGGAGGAAGTGAGGGGACTTAGTTCAGAAAAGGGAAAGGTCTCTGCTGTCTGGGCCAGAGGCATAAGGAACAATGGTATCGCCACAGGCAATTCCTACACTGCAGACTGGCCCTGCTGAGGAAATAGGACTTCCATCCACCTCGCTGGCAGATGGAAAGGAAAGGGTAAGACAGGGGGCCGACAGGGAAACACACACACACACACACAGACACTGTGCGGTACACCCTTGAACTGCATCATTTCATTTAATCCTCAAAATAATCCTGCAAAGGTGAAGTCTCCTCATTCTACAGATGAAGGCGCTAATGCTGGGAGAGTTTTAGGAAACTGCCAAATGTTACGTACCAGTGGTCAGTGACGCTGGGACTCAAATCTGTGGTTCACTCTAACGCTCAGATTCTTTCCTTTACAACTACAGACCCCAACCCCCAGGCCATTGACTGGCACTGGTCCACGGTCTGTTAGGAACCGGGCCACACACCAGGCGACGAGTGGCAGGTGAGGGAGGGGCGCGTCATCTGTGTTCACGTATGAACATGGCTCGTATCACCGCCCCAGCTTCACCTTCTGTCCCAGCAGCAGCAGCTCCTGTTCTCACAGGACCATAAACCCTGCTGCAGGTGAGGGATCCAGCTTGCACACTCCTTATGAGAATCTAATGCCTGAAGGTATGGGGGCAGCTGAGGGCTGGGACTGTCTAGGCTCAGGAAAACAAGCTCAGGGCTCCCTGATTCTGCAGATGCTGAGCTGTATAATTATTTCATTACATTCACGGTGTAACAATAATAGAAATAAAGTGCACAAGAAACATAACGTGCTGAATCATGCCAAAATCATCCCCACCCCGCACCCTATCCACGGAAAAATCGTCTTCCATGAAACCAGTCCCTGGGGCCAAAAAGGTTGGGGACTCCAGATTTATAACATATACGTGGAGAACAAGGAGACCGCAGAACAACTCAATCTTGGGGAGCTTCCTCTCTGAATGGCCTCAGAGGCTGCCCCCAGCAGGTGCTGCCCTCGGCTACTAAATGCAGTGTGAGCCCTGCTAGGCAGATACAAAGCCAGGGAAGCTCAGCAGGACGTCATTGCAGGGAGGGGTGCAACTATCCTCAGTTCCTAGACTCCAAGCACAGACCCCATCCTCTATCAAACACGTCCACCACCTCACACAGGCATAATCTTGGCCACAAGGAAAGTAAGGTTAAAAAAAAAAGGAGTTTGCTCAAGGCGACTGCCCCCAGCTACCCCCAGTGCAGCTGCACTCTATTCTTGGCTTGTCCCACTGTTGGTGATTCCCAGTTACCTAAGGTCCAAGAAGAGACAGCCCCGAGGAGGGGGATGCTGCTGTAGATGGCGTGCATGTACATCAGATGAGCCATCAGCTCGGCCAGCCACCACCAGCAGAGGAGGCGGCCCAGCCCCAGGCCAAGGACGCAGAGCCTGGCCTTCAGGGAGCCGAGCTCTTGCTGCTGCATCTAAAGTAGAAACAAAAGAAGTCATCAGATCATACCTGGATTCCCCAAACATTCCCCTAGACCAGTGGTTCTCAACCTTCCTAATACCATGGCCACTTAATACAGTTCCTGTAGGTTGCAACCCAGAGGTTGAGAACTGCTGCCCTAGACGATGTTTTTAATAAACTTCCTACAAATAGGAAGAGTTGGTTAGGCTTGCCTTGGGAACACTCAATGTTCATGAGTGAAATAGTCATACCTGAGCTTGAAAATTGTCCCAAAGTAAGAACAGGGCAGGATCCACAAGCAAGTCTAGTACCAAGAACCAAAGATGGGGTCTGCATCTCTCCACCCCCGTGACATCCCAGGAAAAACCCAGGTGGGAGGGCAGCACTGGGTGTATTCTCTGCCTTGGGACCCCGAGGTCTCCTGGGGCTGCAGGTGCTGCCCTGTCTGCTTCACCCATCACCCACTCATGTCTGGGGCTGGTAAAAGTAGAGCCCAGTGAAACAGTCACAGGACTGGCAAGAGAAAGGGAGAATGAGGGAGATGGAGAGCAAGGTTAAAAGGAAATGTGGTGTGTCAACCCTGAAGTTGTTTTTAAAACATGGCAGAGTAAACACAGCAGTGACAGCATGGGAGACAAGGCTGCTGCTTAGCAGCTGGCAAGCAAGCAGAACACAGACTTCAGAAAACGTCAACAGCGAGTGGTGTTGCCATCAAAACAATATTGAGTTTCTCGGTCCACAGACTTAAAGGTATTTTTCCATTTAGTAGCTCCGCTTTCATTTCTTTCATCAGTGTTTGTTGTGTCCAGTGGACAAACCTGACCTCTTTGGCTAAAAGTATGCCTAAGTAGAGTATTTTTGATGTCACTGTAAACGAATTATTTTTTTAAAAAAGACCCAGACATTAGAATCAGAGACGATCAAGATAAAATTCTAGCACAGTGGCTCACACCTGTCATCCTAGCACTCTGGGAGGGTCACTCAAGCTCAGTAGTTCGAGACCAGCCTGAGCAAGAGTGAGACACTATCTCTACTAAAAATAGAAAATTTTCCCAGGTGTTATGGCAGGTACCTGTAGTCCCAGCAGCACGCTAAGGCAGGAGGATCGCTTGAACCCAGGAGTTTGAGGTTGCTGTGAGTTATGATGACACTGCACCCTAGCCAGCGCACACGCACAACAGAGTGAGACCCTGCCTCAAAAAAAAAAAAAAAATTCTAGCATATACCATGCAGCTCTGTGATCCTAGGCAAGTTCCTTAACCTCTCAGAGTTTGAGTTTCCCCACAATAAAGCAAGAAAAAAAAATACAGTTGTGAGGATTAAATATAAGGCATGTGTAGTAGTAAGTAAAGTGGGTACCATGGCTGCCCACAAAAGGCACTGGGGAGTCAACAGTTAACCTCTGACTCTGTGCCTCCTACTTGCACCTTCTTCACATTCTTCCTCGTGGCACTCCTGACACCAGCTACAGGACACCATTAAGACACAACTCAGAACCAAACACCAAAGATGAGAGGGGTTTGGTTTTTCTTTTTTTTTTGGAGGGGGAGTATTTTGAGTCTTCATAGATACACACAGAAGCTACCGAGTGTACACTCAATAGATGGGAGCATAACGGCACCACACTAGCCTGAATCTGTGGTCCCACCTCACTGTTTAGAGATGCAAATAATTTAAAACATGTAGTTTCTAGAATCCATAACTATGCTAAAAATTTGAAGTGAATCCAATTTCAGCCAAGACTAGACAAACGGAAAAACAGAGAAGGGTTGTAAGTTTTCTGGAGCTCATGATAACAAGATTTTATTCGACCGAAAGCTGCCTTGAGATGGAGAAACCAATGCTACATGATAAAGGTGTTATATCTGCTAATATTAGCTGGCACAGGCAATGTACTTGATCTAGCACTTGACAATTAGGGCTCCCAACACTAAATAAGAAAGGCCTGCTCCCAGGGGAAGGTAACGTGAGCAGGTCCTTAGCTTCTCCCTAACTACAAAGGCACAGCGGGCCCCACCGCAGCCAGCAGAGGGGTAGGCCTGCCTGCAGAAAGAATGTGACAGCTGCACGCCAGGGGATTTATTTTTATTCCATTTTCTAACAGACATTCCATCATTTTCTCAAACTGTCCTTCCCACAGCAAGAAGCCAGGCTCAGAAATTCTAGCTGGCTCAGTGGCATGACAATATTCTTCACAGATGACTTTCCCTCTTTTGCTATCTAAATGGTTGACTAGCAGACGTTAGAGCATGATGGTGGATGGGAAGGATGTTTAGCTCAGCTCTCCATGAACAGGTGAGAATGAGTGGGCTAGATAATTACCAGCATGGAATATTGGTGTGGAGTGCCAGTTCAGGGTGAGCAGCGAGGTAGAGGATTGCTGGACTTGGAGTGTAAGCCAGAGCTGCAGAGACTGCCAGGAAAGGTTCTGCCCCATGCTGCAGCAACCAGCCCCACCACGGAGGCTTACTGTTCCCAGTTCATGGGGAAACTAGGTATTGTGTGGAAAGATCGGTGAGGTGAGGACTCCCAAGCAGAATTAGGTGGCCAGAGTGGGATGCCATCTGGTGCAGCACCACCATGGTTAGGCGGTGGGAGGGCACTCAGATGGGAAAGATCCCGGACAGAAAGAAGCCATAGCTTTGGAATTTGGGAGATAGTGGTCGCCCTCAGGCACCTTTCCACAGGGGCCAGGCACAGATTTGAGTCTCAGACAATCAGAGACTGACTGCAGACAGTCGTCCTACACTTGGAACTGGCCCAGGATATCCCACACTTCACAGGAACTGTTGCAGGGAAAATTTGGGAAACCTGCCTGTGAAGATTTTTTTGAGATGGGTGGAATCAGCAGTTGGGCAGGGTCTAGGTACCAAGTGGGTAATAAGGCAAACATAAGGTGACCAGATTTTAACATTTGTAAAGCGGGACAAGGTGGCTGGGGGGCGGGGCAGGGGACGGGGCAGGGCAGGGCCTGACACAATGCAAATTTTGATAAGCAGTTCTTGATAATCACTTCTTAACAATTATTTGTTATTATTACAGTTTAACATTGTAAAATTAACAAAAATAATATAAAACTCATATTCTGGCGAAATAGCCACATGGCAGCCAAAAACTGTATATTCCCTTCCTGTTCTTCCACCCGTTCGTGCATTCTTTCCAAAAATCGGGACTTTTTTTAAAACGCCACGGGACGCGGGACAAATTGTTAAAAAGTGGGACTGTCCCACCAAAAGCAGGACGTCTGGTCACCCTAGGCAAACACCAAGAGCATTTAAGCCTGAAGACAGGTATAATAAGCCTGGGAACGACTCATGGCACCACCTGGTGTCCAGAAAGTATATTGCAACATAAATATATCCCTACCAAAGTCAATCCCTAAGGCATATATATAGTCGTATGTTTTTATGTATATATAAATACAATTTTGTTGCCCTTTTTTCTCTCTTTGCTCATTGTTTCTGCTTTTTGTCCTTTTTTCTTCTGGTAGGAGTTATTATTAAATGTTTTTTAGTTCTTTTCTCTGCTTTCCTCCTCCTTTTTTTTTTCCCTTGACAGAGTCTATGTCGCCCTCAGTGGAGTGCTGTGGCGTTGCAGCTCATGGCAACCTCTAACTCTATTGGGCTGAGCAGTTCTGTTGCCTCAGCCTCCCAGGTGGCTGGGGCTGCAGGTTCCCACCACAGTACCTGGCTGGGGTTTTTTTTAGTTTTGGTTGTCCTTGTTTGGCAGGCTCTGTGCCAGGTTCTAGCCTGCCATCTCTGGTGTATGTGGCTGATGCCCTGGCCACTGGACTATGGGCACTGAGCCCTCCCCTTCCTCTTAGTTGCTGAGAGTGCTTACATCAGACTATTCGAGTTTTTTCTGCATGTGTTTGTTTTTATTTTTGATTGTGTGTCTGATTGTTTTTTTGTTCATTTGTCCATTTTGTTTCAATGTGCCTTGTGTTCTCCTAAAACCTTGGGTTGGCTATCTTCCCTAACTCCAATTTTTACATTCAGCAAGAGCAAAGGGGAGTGGGGGATGACAGCCAACTGAAGCCAGCTTTCAACAGAAGCTCCCGTCCAGAGGGAGAGATAACAGCCAGAGAAAACCCAACAAAGCTGAAGGGTGGGAATTGAGCTGAGAGAAGAGATTGATAATTGCACATCTTGTCTGATGAGGCAAGCTGCAACTCCAAGGAAACAAATTTCAGGTACAGAAACCACCCCAAAAAGGAGTGTGTCCATCCCCTCTCCCAAGAGAATTGCTTGCTTGCTGTGAGATCCGTACTAGTGAGCGGTGAACTGAGGTTCTCTTTTTTCAGCCCACAGGAGCAAGTTGCTGGAACTGGGACTCCTTCTCCAGAGAGTAGCTGCTGGGAAGTCTGAACCTGGGCATTATCTTGTCTGGCATGAGGGTTGAACAAATATTTTCCCTGTCACTTTGAACTCCCAGTCCACCCTTTCCCCTGGCCTAGTGGTCTAGAAGCCCAATGCTTGTAGAGACCAGAACATTCACAGTTCTTTGTTCAGACTGGGCATTGCATGGTCTGAGGTAGCACAGCTACACTGTAACTGTGAATCTGGTAATAGTGCAGAAAGGCACGGGGTGGGGGGGGGGGCAGAGGTGTCTGGCTTGGTTCTGATAAAGAACAACTCAACATCAGGTGGAACCTTGGGTCTCTTACAATGGGGGTGGGTGGGTGGGTGGGAACTGCTGAGGCGTGGGAACCCAATTGGAGACACCTCTCACCTAGCAGCAGCATTAATAGAGCAATCCTTCCGGGGTCAAATTTCGGAGAGACATCTCCCCAATTCTGGGGACTGCTGGAGGCAGCTAGATCTCGCATTGAAGGGATACCAGAGGAGCAGAGCAGCTGGGGCAGAAGCACAGTCTCTGCAAGCAAAAAACATTTGCTGCTTTGTTAACCTCTGGTTTGGAATCAGCTCAGGTGGAACACTCCCCAGTTTCCACCGAGCATCCGAGATAATCAGACTTCATCTTCCTCAGCCAGCTGGTGGCAAAGTGTGGTTA